CACCCGCGTGAATAACACTTTGTACTTTGACATAAAATCATTTATTTTCCGCTTTTTATATTTCTGTTTCAAATATGTTCAGTCTCTGCTGAACTATCTCCATTTCCTCTTCCTCATTCTGGGTTCATGTGTTAATCAATGTCAACAGCAGAAAAAAATGATGTTTTTCCCGGTCCATCTTCTGCAAGTTCCCCCACAGTGTTAGTATTAGTCCGACCGGCATGTTCCGACTCTAACGGAGAGAGATTTCTTAATCTTCTCAACCATCGATGTTCCTGCTGGTTTGGCTGCGTTCATGCTGCAAGCCTTCGAGTTCAATTCTGATTAATTGTTCAGATCAGATTCTGGCTGTTCATATTATTTCTTCAATGTGATGTTATGTGTGGAGGAATAATAATACTACTACTAATAATAATAATACACCCGACTGTCCCTCCACCGACTACCTCCATCGCAGCCGTCTTCCCTTTTTGTATTCACCAAGTGACTCCATCCAGCTCAGAATTGACGAATACCGATTTAGACTGACGTAAAAGTAGCAGGACTTTTGGCATGACTCTTCAGACTGAGGTCGCATTGCAAAAAGATCAAGACATGCATCCACATATGAAAGTGGCCGAATCCAGTTTGAAGATCTGATTCCATGTGATTTGTGCTGTTAAACAGAAAAACAGATGCGAGTCACATTATGTGCTGCAGTCTGAACGTAGTGTTTGAAAAGAGAAGCCAGTCGAGGCTCAGTCATGCAGCTACGAAACACGTTACAAAGTAGTTATGAGCTCTGTTCTGTGTTCTTCATGTACAAGTCAAATTAAAAAAAAGGAGGAGATTGGGAATATATTTTTGCAGTGCCCAATAGCCCACTCCCTATAAAATAGACACTCAATAGAGTCACACCACTGTTCTGTAATTATAGACTATGTATAAGACGTGAAAGTAGTTACCTTGACGTCACCCATTGGTTTGTCGACTGCCATTTTGAAGCCTAGAGTTTGGCATTTTGGACATCGACATCTTGTTTTTTTTGCAAACGCTGATTAAGACATTCAAACCTTTTGTAACAAAGGTTACAATTGACTTTCATGAAGTGCAAACACACTGTGAAAGGGTGAAAGTACTAAGACGAAAACACGCAAAAAAACGCCATGGTAGCGACCTGTCAATCACAAGGTAGCCCCGCCCTAAAGCATACCCTGCTTTATGGTCTATTTGACTCTAAATGGACCATAACTTACTAAATAAACATCATGCTGTATTGAAGAAGACTTGAAACTAGAGATTGAGACCATAAACTCATGTTTACAATGTTTACTGAGGGAACAAATCAAGAGAGAAGTAGAGTCATTTTCTCATAGACTTCTATACAATCTGACTTCTCTTTGAAACCAGAGGAGTCGCCCCCTGCTGGCCATTAGTGAGAATGCAAGTTTTAAGACGCCTCGATACCAGCTTCACTCGGCAGAACGGGAGGTTGACACCTGACAATTACAGTTCAGTGCGTCCAACAAAGATGCATATTAATGCTTAATCATACAATGTTGAACAACATCACACATAATGAGTATGTATTGCATAGTATGCGATATCGGACGCAGCATGGGTGTTCTACAATGTTAGTACATGTGTGGAATGTTTGGACGCTTTTAGAATTTTCCGGCTTTTGTGTGTGCGTGTTTGACACTCAGACACCATTGCAGAGAGTTTTTGTATGTGTTAAGCATGCTCACAGTGCTGCGGATGACTCAGACGGCGTCGCGGAGCGGCCCGACTGCATTCGGATGTGGGTTCCGGAGGGCCGCGCCAAGGCTTTGCGCTTCACTCACTCTCAGACACCTCTTTTAACTCACGAGGATTAGCTCCCAGCTCTCACTCGCTCTGTAATTATATAGTTCTCAAATACATCTGCACTCGAGCACAAGCACACACGCAGCCGGACGCGCGCACACACACACACACACACACACAGGCAAGTATTTATTCTGTCGTACATCTGCCAGCAGACACACGCGTGTGCTAGCACATATGCACGCACACACACCAAACACTCCGTCAGCCTCATCAAACCATCAGTCGGTCGGTCGTGTTTATACGGGGAGATGGAGACCGAGACGGAGTGAAGGGAGGTCTGCCAAACAAAGTGGGAAAAAAAACATCAGAGACGATGACAGCGGCGGCACCCGCTGCAGCATTGCTGCGTTCCCTCTTCCCGCCTGCCACGGCATCGGCTTTTGTTAGCGAGTGGGTTTTGTTTGTGTGTCGGTGCATGTGTTGCACGTCGCAGGGAAGAAAGCCAGCAGGCGTAGGCGGTATCCAGGCCACTGCCTTGTTTTGATGTGGTCATGCTAATTAAAAAAATTTTTAAAAAAGAAGCATTTCTGCCAACACCAAGAAAAACCACACAGGGAAAAAATAAAGAGCTATTTGGGTTGAAAAGAATGCGGGGGGGAAAATAAGAGGTTCATGTTCTGCATCTTTGGACGTGGGTCAGAGCGCAGAGAAGAGGTGAATTTGGGGGATTGTTTTTGCGATGTCTTTATGTGTTGTCGGGCTGGAGTGAGAAAGAGACGGAGGTACTGGGGACATGAGGGAGTCTTTTTTGGATCTGACTCAGACTGCTGGCTCAGACGGAGCGGTGACGTCAGCACAGGCTTTGCAGAGGATGGAGGGATCGAGGGAGGAACAGAGGGAGGCTGGAGATGATGCCCCGAGGGGAGGCAGGAACGATATTAAAAGTGTGGGGGGTGGGAGAGAGAGAGGATGGACACGGAGGGAGAGGGAAGCAAGTAATAAGAGGCCCGCCGCATATATCTGGGTGTGACTTCGGGAAAAAAACTGCAGCTAAGTTGGTTTAAGGCAGATAAACACACAGTCGGAATGAGAGACAAAGACGGAGGAACGGAGAGGAATAATTCCTAGGCGGATTCGGATGAAGACAAAGGCCGAGGGAGAAATTGGTTTATTATCTTGGCTTAGAAGAGTGCGGGGTGACGGAAGAGAGAAAAAGGTGGTGCGGGCAGAAATAGACGGAGGAAGAGGGAGCGATAGCGGAGGGAGATTATGTCGAATCTTTGCACTATACCCTCTATTTTAAATAGCAGTCAATAACCTTCGGTGCTGCGTGACTTAGCCGTGAAAGTCCCAGGGAACAGTGACTTTTTGTTTTTTGGCTGGAGCATAAAGTAGAAACAAACACAAACACACACAATCACGCACAGCTAGTGCAAAAACCGAAAGTTTCTTCATTTCACATATTTATGCGTTCTCTCGGCTTCGTGCAACAACCTCGCTGCCCAGTCCGCTAGCATCCTTTTGTCAGTTGGATTTTTTTTCTTTTTTTCTCCCTTCTTCTTTAGAAATGAGACTTTTATTTATTTTTTATAATCCCACCAAGAAACACTTGTCGTGTTTTTGTTTTTGTCCTAAAAGTTTAGTGTGTGTAAATATTCAATCCTACACTCAACACCCCACTTGGGAGTAAGTTTTGAGAGAAACATGTAGCGCTAATCGCTTGTCGCGGCATGATGACATCATAACTACAGGAGGGGGGCGGGGGTTTGCGCTACATGTGAGGTCATTAAATAGGAGTTCTTTTTGCGCACTGATTCACCATTGTGGGCCAGCCAGTCGCGTCAGACGGTCATGTGTTGTGAACAAAGTTGTGTGTCAGTTTGTCTGTCCCTTCAACCCCACCCCCCAGTCCACAATTTGCACTGATGACAGGTGACCGATGATGAAGGCACCGGGGCAAGAAATTAAAAAGCACAGAGGCAAGAAAAAAGAAGGGGAGGGAGGAGGAAAGAACAGGAGACTGGCGGGTGTTGTTATTAATATGACAGGCAGTGCGACACATTGGAGTTCTAAACCTTTTAAACTTCCATAACCCCTCTCACTTTGACCACAGACGCCCCCGATACACACCAATACGCATGTGTGTGTGTGTGTTGGCTCTCTGTGTTTTTAAGTGAATATTGAACTGAAAATTAAGTTAGCTCTCATGCATATTACATTATGCAAAATGGACCGCTACTGTAAGAAAAGAGACTTGAGGGGTTTATATAAATATATATCTCAATGGGAGAATTTTTTTTTTAAATGTAAATGTCGTCTGTTTGACAGGTGCGCCGGGAAAGTGGGACAGACGGGAGAGTTGTACTAATTGAAAGAAAATACTCGTCGGTCTTCTTGAAATAGGGCCTTTTGGTCCCGCACGTGATGCAGTTCTTCACTCGCGTTGTTTCAATGAATTATTTAAAACCAGGACGGGTCACTGAGACAAAGTGGCACTTCGGCGCGCGGTAGCATTTTTCATGTCATTACGTGCATCTGTCGTGATAATTTATGGGCTCCAGCCATCCGCCGACAAATCATCTTTCCCTGTGAGGACCGGGCCTGCAGCATGTTTAATTACTATCACATAAATGTCACGTGTGCATTTTTTATAGCCGCACGTCTACTGTACATGCATGACAAGACGATCCCCCACAGGCGTGTAGTGAATATACATGGTGCCAACCCGCATTAATAACAGTGAGGAATACTTACTTTTTGTGTGTCAGAGGAGAGGGCCCCCCCCTTGATAATTAAAATTAATTATCTGGAGTCTGGAGAAAAATAATGTTAAAGCCATAGGTTATTGTTCTCACTGCTGCGCACACACACACACACACACACACACACACACACACACCACCTTGTGCTCGAGCGAACTCAAGGATTCCATTAATGTAATGTCCACTCCAGGTACCAGTAAGGACACATTGTGTGCTCTTTTGTCAACCTAAAGGGCCCTTAAACACGGATGACTCTCAAGCGTCAGGGTGAGTGGAGCGAACTGTATGAGGGGATAAAAAACATCTCGGTGTATATAACATGTCTGTGTTCTGTTTTATCGAGTGCTTTGGCCTTCAAAAGACTCATCTGCCAGCATCTGTTTCAGAGCATTTACTATATCCGTGCATCTGAATGTCTTCGGCTAATATGTGTGTCTCTTCCCGTTGCAGATGCAACAACCGTACGCAGTGTGCGGTGGTGGCCGGGCCCGACGTCTTCCCCGACCCCTGCCCTGGCACATACAAGTACCTGGAGGTCCAATATGAGTGTGTCCCATACAGTAAGTCCCTTTTTTATTTTTTTCAAAAAGTAGTTTTGACAGTATTTTGACCTCTTATCACTGTAATGGCACTACTAGTCACATGTTTGAGTCAGGCTGGTCTCATCCAGCATCCAGCGTCGCAATTTGTCCCACAAATTTCTTCCGTGAGTTATCCATGTAATCTTGAACAAGGACGTACAAAGGCCGCTAAATCACACAGCTGGCAGGCCGAAGGGGAAGTGGATGGGTCCAGCAAACGGAGACCGCTGTTCGTTGCCCAAATGATGGTCCATTTAGAGTAAAATAGACCATAAAGCAGAGTATGCTTTAGGGCGGGGCTACCTTGTGATTGACAGGTCGCTACCACAGAGCTGTCCGTGTTTTCGTCTTTGAACTTTAACCCTTTCACAGTGTGTTTTCAATTCATGAAAGTTATTTGTAAAAATGTAATTGCTTAAAATGTCTTATTCAGCATTGGGTTGAACTGGCTCTAGGATCTCGTGTCACTTCTGGTTGCAAAAAATATATATATTTTTTTTTTTTCCGCCAAGATGGCTACGGTCAAAAACAAAGATGCCGAGGGAAATGAATGAAAATGGGGACCGTAGTACACACCAAGGAATGACATCACTGGGACTTTGTCCCCTTCTTGAATACAGTCCATGTTTTTCAGTGACAACATTCATCCTGGTTGTCAACGTAGATGTCTGTGAAATAATCTCATTTTTAAGATCTCAGTACATATTTGCTGTTTTCTAAAGTTAAATTCTGAAAAGCCTGCAGTTTTTTTAAGCCGATTCATCAAAAGTCACAGTCCCTTCATATGGGAGACACCGTTCAATGGGAAACTCCAAGGGAGGAAGGACGAGAGAGACGGATGGTCTCCAACCACGGCAGATGGTGATTTGACCTTTGACCGCACGATAACAGACTGGGAGGTCGTATTCACTGAAGTGAAACGTTCACGGGACGTAGTCGCTAAATATAACAACAACTGGGAAACTTTTCTTTTTTAAACCAACAGAGTTTTCCCCAAAATCTAGGTTACAGCTCATTGCATAATAAATGCATAAGAATTCAGGGTGGAGACTGAGTGAATTAAAGACATCTATTTGCCCTTGATGTTTATTTAACACTGCATTCCTGCTTGGAGGGTTTGTCCAAAGGCAAAGCGAAAAATGCTGCTTCTGTGTCTGTTTTTACAAAAAAGCTAAATCTCAAGTGTTTCACTTTGTTCGACAGTAGTTATATTTGATTTTTTTTGCCACATGTTGTGGTGGAAAACCTTACAAAAAAAAAACATTCTGCCAAAATGATAGAACATTTATAGAGAACATATTAGTCAAAAAGTAAAAAGGTTACAGGCACTGAATGTAGTAAAAAAAAATACTTTCTCAATCGAAAAATAGACCTACTGCACCTCAAGTGGCAGATTCCAAGCATAACCTTCAGATGAAAATAGATGATAATTAGTTTTTGTATATATAATGGTGCGCCGAATACTTCATACTACTCCACATTACACTGTACAAGCTCGGAGAAACGTAGCACAAGAGGCTGAGTGGGTGCTGTGGAACGAGAAAATGTGTCTATTTTTGTGAAGCGCTGCACGTCTTATTGCCGTCTGTTTTTTTGTTTCTTCTTCTTCTCCTTTTGTTCGCTACAAACATCTCTGCGGTGGAAGTCATAAAAGACAGGAGGACATGCAGAGTTGAGATAAAATAGTTAGGATTCATCCAAAGTCAATTTAGTGCTGTCTATAAATCTTACTTTTCTGCCAAAGTGGATTGAGCCCCGGTTGTTTCGAAGAAATTTGAAGCTAAATCTTGTTACAAGTCAACTGCCTTGTTTCAAGTTAGTGTCTTTTTTTTAAAAACAAAGCAAAGTAAATTAGCTTCTCTTTAAGCAGAATTCGTTTTACGTGCACTGGGGAAACTTTATTTTTTTCTCAGTCTTCCTACAATAACAAATGATTGAACAGATTTTTTTTTTTTTCCTTTAGTTTCCGAGCTGCAGAAATCCCAGAAACTTTATTTGTTTTGTCCGAGCGTACAGCCCTGGCACGACGGCGCATGCAGACGGCCAAGGTGATCTCCCACACTGAAGCATTCAATTATGTCCGGCTAAACGGCCCTTGCCTGGCGTCTAGAATGACCAGCAGATTAAATAATAGGACTATCAGAGCCCTCTCTGGAGCAGATGGAAACACAACCTGATACCTGCTTAATGCCCCCTACGAGTGCACGCGTGCACGCACTCGTGCGCCATACACAGCGGGAGCATCGAGGGTGTGTGTAGGTGTGTGTTTTCTGTTCCGTTTGAAAAAAAAAATACAGGACTGCGCGTTTCATAGATGAATGGCTGGAAGGAGCGGGAGCTCAGGAACAACTCGGCGCAAAAGGAAGATGAGTCGCATGCTGATCTGATAAACAATGGGGCCGTCAGGGTAACGTCCCCCGTCCCCCCCCCAGCAAAAATAGACAGCGTCTGAAACAAAAGTCATTAGAGAGCTCAGCTAACAGAGGCGGGGACATGGGAGGAAAAGATAGAGATGGAGAGAGATGGAGCATTGGAGAGAGAGAGAGGGAGGGAGGGAGAGAGAGAGAGAGCCTTTGACAGTACATTAGCAGTTTTCGTGTACTGACTAAGTGTTGGGGCTGGATCAGGTAGCACTGTGATGATACACTACGTGGCTCCTGTGGGTGTGTTTAGCCATGTGAAATGTTGCTCAACGTTGTAAAGAAAAATATGATGTGCAAACAAAATACAAAATATGTACAAAGCTGTTTTTATTTTTATTTTATAATCTCGCAAATTCATGATTTGTTTTCTCTTTGATTTGCCACTTTAATCTCAGAGAATATCCAAGTATTTTTCTCGTAAATCTACGACTTTATAATCTCGCATATTTGTGACTTTTTTTTAGTACATTTGCCAATTTAACCTCCTTTAACCTTGAAAAAAGTTTTTTTCTTATAAATGTATGAATTTCTAATGTTGCAAATGTGTAGGTTGTTTTGTCGTAAATTCATGACTTTATAACCTCGCAAATTTGTGTTTTCTTTTCTCGTTGATTTGCCGCTTTAACTTCAGAGAATATCCAACTTCATTTTTCCCGAAATTGTGACTTCATAATCTCGCAAATTGAGAGTTTTGTTCTTCAAATATTACCCCCTCCCCCGGCTCCGTAGTAATCAATTTTCTTTTACCTACAATTGCGCTCAAACGCCGTTGTATAAACTAGATTTTTGGTAACCTGTCTTAGATGCGTCACGATTCTCTCTTGAACGATTATGACTCGCTGCAGAAAACTCAAACTCAATTCTCAACGTTATGATCGCCTGTAACAATTCTGTGACACCGGGCTGTCCGTTCCTACCGCTGCCAGTGAACGCAACAGACGTAATACACGTAATACACTGAGTTTTGTGAAGTGCCTAAGCTTGAGCAGCCGAATATGGATACGATCCGACGGGCACGTATGGAAGCATTTCGCTTCTTCTTCTTCTGCCAAACTCTGAAAGGACGAAGCAAATCACAAAGTAGACTGCAACTTCTTTTTGCCAACGATTTGCGCCCCTACTCAGTCATTGAGAATCATCAGAGCTTTCGTGCTATGTTGCACACTTTGGAACTGAGATACAACATTCATCTCAACGTTTTTACGAACACAGAGATACAACCAAACCAAAGCTAAAGTCACGGAATCGCTGAGGAAAGCGGGGAGGATAGTAGTTATACGCCATGCGTGGCATCCGTTGCCTCCGAATCATGTGTCACCGTAACTGCGCACATGTATCGTTTTTGTGTTGCATGTTCCAGAAAGCGTTATTTTTGTGTTCATTAGTGAATAAGGGCAGCTTTTTATGTTAAATGACTCAGAACATGCTGAATTATGTGTTTTTTACTACAAGGATGCTGCTACAGGCAGGCTTGGTTTTCTTTGCAATGCTTGTAAGTGTAACCCATCTCTGCTATTTGTTACTTATATTGAATTAATAGAAGATAATAGAAGTAAATTCATCTGTTTTTTTAATAATGAATCATTACAAATATGCTGTGTTTTTAAAATAGCGGATAGTCACAGTGAGAAAAAAATCATGGATGGAAAAATGTTGACGCATCAAGAAGAATCGAAAGGTTTCCCACCCCTAGTTTTTGGACACCATGACTCCAGACTTAAGATTAGTTTTGTCTGAGAATACCTCAAGCTTTACATGGCAAGGCCCTGCAGAGAGCCCTCATAGCGCATCCTTAAAATATTTATGAAATCAATTTTCCTTGAAGGGGTGTAATAGTGTCCTTAGTGAACCTTAGAACAAGATACTCTGGCTCGCTGACATTCAGACCGGAGATCCAGCCCGTGTACGATCAAGGCGTGCTTGGCGCAGCAAATCAATGCTGTCAGCTGCGTTGTTGTGAAAGATAGATTTTGCAAGACATTAAGTGGCGATACATCTCCAAAATGTTGCCATAAATCAAGAGGGATCAATAATAGGAGGCTCGTTTTCTGAAATATACGAGCGTGTACTCAAACCGACGCGTTCCTAAAACACTCAACAACAAATCATCGTATTTACATCTGGAGGCAGGGTTGGCTTTAGTGCACTCAAATGGCTGTAACGTCAAGGGGGGACGTCCGTAACTTAAGTAGGTCCCCCCCCCCCCAAGCGATCACCTCTGAGGCCGGGTGGTTGCTAATTAGACAATGACTGCACGGACACGAAAATGAGCCAAAAGAGACACCACCTCATGCTGCAGATGTACTTTTCCCCTCAGCACTGATGTTTCCCACTACATGGATATTGTAAACAAATCTCAAAGTGGGTTGTAAAACAGCTAATTAAATTATGTGCGGCTCAGTTTTTCTGGGAAATTGTGCCCCTCCCTCCCCCCCCTCCTTTTTTCTTTTTTTTTTCCTTGAAAATTTTTTTTGGCTCGCTCTACATTCACAGCTCTTCATCTCTCCTCCCTTTTGCACTGCATGCTTTTTTGGCTCTTTTCCAAAGCTAAAATCAAGTGCTCTCGCTCTCTCTCTCTCTCTCTCTCTC